AGGTGTGATTGACCAATCAGTTTGTAATGCTGAGTCTACTGTAGTCTAATGTTTCTGGGCTTCTGTTCTGAATTCACTTAATCCCACAACATTTGCACATAGGTAGATTTGGACATTGGCTCCTACAAGTCATTTAAAAGGACAGAGATAGTAGAATGTGTATAGAATAAACCATTATAAAGTTCCTCTCCCCCTTTATCAGTCAGTGAGCAGAGGAATCTAGTGATGGTCCTATGCTACAGCAGGAGACATTTTGCAGCAGAGGAGGCCTTAAACTCTGGGAGCTCCCTGCACTGCACGGGACGTGAACTAGCACACTAAAGATAAGCGTGGATGTTGCAGTGCCCGTGAAGACTTGATCTAGCCAGCCAAGCTCAGAACCAGTGGAGGCAAAGGGCGGGTTTCAGCTTGTGTGGCTAGCCCTAGCCTCCACTAGTGCTGAAACATCCCCACTGCTGTTCTGAGGCTAGGTCTACACTGGGGGGAGAAATGAGACTTACAATACACAACTCTAGCTAGAAGTCAACGCACATTAAATCAAATTTCTGCAGTGGCCCCACTGTGGGAGGTGGATAGGAGAAACTCTCTCATTGACTTTCCTCACTCCTTGTGATTTAGTTGAGTACCGGGGTCGACGAGGCACCATCAGCATTCCATTTAGTGGGTCCTTACTAGACCTGCTAAATCAAATCCTGGAACAATGATCACCTGGTAAGTATAGACTAGGCCTTAGTGGACTAGCTCAAGTCCCGCTAACATGAGTCTGACAGGCCTTTATAGGTTTTCAGTATGAGTACTCCTAACAAACGCAGCTATTAAAAGGAAATCTTTTAAGTGTAGTCTGGGCCCTACTGTCAAATTGCCCCTGCATCCTCACTGTCAATGCCACTCTAACCCTCTCCTTTCCCACCGTAATGTCCAAGAACTGTCAAAACAAAACAGTTTAAAATCTTCAGGTTTTTATTGGTTTTTATTTTTAAAGGTAGAAGTGCAGGTATTAATTATCAAAAGGAGAAGGAAAGAATTATGAATTCTACCAAGCCAACTGGTATTGCTTTGTCTTGTTCCTTCGCGAAGGAACAAATCAGCTACTGATAGAGTAGAAGAGTTTACTTAAATATGATTTTCCCGTGTAATTGTTTTAAATTATACTAGACTTCCTGAAGGGAGCTTGGGGTACTGTGAACAGCCTCTCCATCCACTTTGGAACCTCCCTTCAGGAAGTTGAAGGCTATCAAATCCCCCGTCACTTTTTTTTGCAGACTAAACAAACCCAAATCCCTCAGTCTCTCCTCATAGATCATGCACTCCAGCCCCCTAATCATTTTGGTTGCCCTCTGCTGGACCCTCTTCAATGTGTCCACATCCTTTCTATAGTGGGGGGCCCAGAACCAGACACAATATTCTAGATGGGGTCTCACTAGAGCCGAATAAAGGGGAATAATCACTTCTCTGGATCTGTTGGCACTGATCCTCCTAATGCACCTCAATATGCCATTAGCCGCCTTGGCTACAAGGGCACACTGTTGTCTCATATCCAGCTTCTCATGCACTGTAATCTGCAGGTCCTTTTCTGCAGAACTGCTACTTAGCCATTCGGTCCCCATCCTGTAACAATGCTTGGGATTCTTTTGTCCCAAGTGCAGGACTCCACACTTGTCCTTGTTGAACCTCATGAGATTTCTTTTGGCCCAATCCTCTAATCTGTCCAGGTCACTCTAGACCCTATCTCTGCCCTCCAGCATATCTACTTCTCCTCCTAGCTTAGTGTCATCTGCAAACTTGCTGAGGGTGCAATTCATCCCCTCATCCAGGTCATTAATAAAGATGTTGAACAAAACCGGTCCAAGAACAGATCCTTGGGGCACTCCGCTAGAAACCGACCGCCATCCTGACATCGTTCATCACTACCCGTTGAGCCCAACAGTCTAGCCAGAGAGGTCCCTGCCAAAGCATTCTCCACTGCAGTGCCTGTGGAGAGAGCCTGATAGCGGTTATTTACCAGTCTACAGGGATGGAGGATACCTGAGTTGGCCTCCTTCTTCTTCTAGAGGTTACATGCTGCCAGTTCTCTTCTTTATCCTGTAGTGCCCTGACTGGCCCTTCAGCCTGCTGTGCCTGCAGGATTACATGCTGCCTTCTGTCGAGGCAGCTTTGTCCTCTCTGATAGAACGTAGGGGCAATACTTGGCCCTCAAGTCCTCTAATTTTTTCTTCCAAAATGGTGACCAGCTTGCACTTAGTGCAGATGAAATCCCTTCTGTCTTCTGGGAGGAAGACAAACATGGCACATGCTGTGCAGATAACAGCAGACCTATCCCCATCCGTACCTGGCTTCCTTCTGAGAGATTCCTCAGTTATTAAATGCGTCCTTGAAGGGCAGGAGTGTAGTGAGAAGATTTTAAAGAACGGCGAGTGTATCTCACCCCCTTCCCACTCCCCTTCTGAACTCCTTCTCCAAACTCCCTGTTAAAAGTCCCTGTTCACAAGCTCCCTGGTCACTGACTCACTCGTTTATAAAGCCCTGGACTGCCTGATAGTCTCTCCTGCTGATTAAGGCTCAACCAATGAGCAGAGGCATCTAGATTTCAAACCCTGATTAGAAGCTCCGCTTCCACCTGCCGGCCACAGCACTCACTCCATGAGGGGTGGGGGGAGAAGAAGGGGGAATAAACCCACCCCAAACACAAGCTCAGCCCACAGCAAGAAAACCCCAAACACAAACACACAGTACAGACAGCCACTTCCCTCAAGGCTCCTGTATTAGCTTCCTCCTTTATCTGGAGAACTCTCTCTCTCCAAACTCCCTGTTTAACAGCCCCTGTTTGCAAGCTCTCTGGTTGCTGACTCACTCCTTTATAAAGATGGTTTAAAGCAACTTAAATTCAGAGAAGTGGCTGACTGGACAAATAAGGGGCTGCAGGTTTCTGGCCACTGAGAGCTCTTGCATATATGTGTAATCCTTCCACTGGGTAGGCCCGGCAGCAACCAGGGCTGGGTTCAATATCTTGGGTTCCATCTCTCACAGAACCAGCTCGAGCCCCCACCCAGTAGCCTGGGAAATTCACACACCCCGGGTACCTCTGAGAGCCTGCCCAGTGTGAAGAGGCACTACAGAATTATTATAGCTTTTAAAAAGACTCCTGTTTATTTTGAAAAGCTGATGTTTTAACTCTATATTTTACAAGTCATTCCTATTGTTTTAAAAATGCCTTGCGGCTAATTCTGTGAGAGACTCATTCAGTTTATCTTCACAGATCTGGATTCCGTCCCTATTACAATGTACAAGGCAATATGGTTGGGTAGTTAAGCAGGTGTGAATAGTGTCTATTGGTTTTGGACAAATAATATTTGAGGGTATTCTGCACCGCAACAATACACATTCTGCCCACAGTATTTTACATTTCTGCAAATTTCCTTTGCCAAATGGGGAGAGTTCAGCATTGGGGAGCACAGGCCACTGGCTGCAAAGAGGTGACACTCTGCATCTCTCCCTCCCTCCGGAACACAGATGCAGCAGTGGGGCTGTCTCAGCAATACCCTGTGGCTTTGCCTCTTGCAGCCAGCTGCACCAGGTGTGGGCAAGCAGGCTCAGCCTGGCAGGATCCAAGTGTGGAGAGTGAGTGTGTAGGGGAATCCAGGTGTGACTTGAGAGAGTTGTGTGTGCTGCACTGTGGGGGGTCTGGGTGCAGAAGGGATCTGGATGCACAGGAGCTTGTTGAGGGAGGCACTGGATGCAGTGAATGAGACTCTGCAGGGGATACAGGTGAAGGTGGTTGGGGCTTAGAGTCTGTGTGTGGAGAGGTCAATGAGGGGGTCCAGATGCTGTGAGAACGGGTCTCTAGAGAGTAGTAATTAGTGGTTAGAGTGTAGCCGAATACCGTTTTTAACTGGTAAGCTCATGCTTATTGGTTACACTCAGGTGGCTTCCAGGGAGGTGGTTTTGCTGAGGCTGGGAGATGGGTGGGCAAGAGCTGCCAGCTCCTCCCTGGGAGCCAGGCCTGCAGGGGCTGGTGGCTCTGCTCCTGGGGATGCTTCACTGAGGGTGCTTGCAGTGTGTGTAACCGCTAAGACATTTAGTGGATGCACGGTTACCGTATTAAACTAATTTTAACATCCCTAGTAGTCATCCAGGTGCAACTGGTTAGGGCACAGTGGGGTAAAGATCCAAGGTTGGGTAGTTCATTGACGTGGTGCAGGGGAAGTGGGACTTGGCAGGAGGATGTAGGTATGAGGGGGTCAGGATGCATGAGAATTGGGCAGATGGCTGAGCCACTCTTTGTATAGGGATCCCTTCCCCTGCAGCTGAGGAGCAGTGGATGAAGGAAGCTGGGGGAAGAGAGTTTTTTGCAGAGCTTCCTGTGTCTGTAGGAGAAATTTGGGCTTGGATCTGGGGAAGAGGAAATCCAGTCTTCCTCAGCCCAGTTGGGACTAGTAATTGAGTCCAGCATGGAGTAAAAGTCACCAGCTGGGTTTACCCCAGTCCCACCGCCTCTCCCACAGCAATTTACCTCTCTGCTGGCTGCCTTGGGCACCCAAAACATATTGCTGGGGAGGGTGGCATGCCACTCTTGTGGCTTCTCTTTGTGGAGAAAGCAAAGTGTCATTTTTATGCTGAGAAGCGAAGACACCTATGGTGGACATGAATTCTCTGCATGCTCAGTGGTGCAAAATTCCCCTAGGAGTAAAATAATGGATTCTCATTTGTATGACACCTCCATTTAGGTGCTCTCACTGTGATAATCTAGTATGGGTACGCCCTCTACCCTGCTTCTAGTGGTTGGTCTATCAGCCATTCTTGAGTTGGTTGTCATTTGGCCTTTAAATAGGTACAGCCTGCAGGTTACATGAAACATTGTACTAGAAACTGTTACTTTTGTAAAGGGCTGTAAACAGTCTATCCAACATTTCACTATCCTGTGAGTTGATTGGAAGAAAGCTTCTTCGTCACTTCCTCTGTGAGCATTTGGAAGAAGTATTGGGCAGCAACAAGTTGCCACAATGCATACATCTGTCATTAAACTGAGCCTCCTGGATGAACTCCTGTGTCAGCAAGGAGCCCCACTGCAGTTGCTGACTCCAAAGATGTAGAGATTGGCTTGCATGGAGCTGCTTGCAGAAGTGAGGCCAAGGTTAGCACGTTGGAATGGGGCACTTTAAATCCTTTTCTTCATGCTGCAAACATAGGGGCCTCAGCCTGCCTCTTCAAGGCTAATCCAGAGCCCAGTGAAATCAGTGGGAATCTTCCTATAGACTTCAGTGTGCTTTGGATTCACCTTGGGAGCTCGTCTATGAGAATCTGAGAGCTGCTCTGAGAGAGACTGTTTATTATTCAGGGTTAATGTACCATTGCAAATGAAAGTTAAGAATTTTGCACATATCAACATGCACATTGCACTGAAAGGGACTTTAACCTGCTGTAAATGAAGTGGGAACTGAAATAGCTGATTTGAATGAGTGCCATAAAAGAAACCCTCTTATACCCAGGGAGTGCACTGATATTTTTCTTCATTGTGCTGACGTAGAAGAGGTTGTGTGGTGTTTTCCATGTTATTGACTTGAAATGGTAATGTGAGAACCCTGTTACCGTAGGTGTTGTATGCACATTTGTGTAGACGTAGCCATAACAATATTAAATCAAAATAACAATATTAAACATGTTTGTTTTTCTAGGTTAGTGGATGACAGATGTGTGGTGCAGCCAGATGCAGGTGACCTTGCCAACCCCCCGAAGAAGTTCAGAGGTAATTATCTATCTGAGAACCTGAGGGTAGCTTTTATTTCACACATTGGGGCTACTGCTGAATCTGTAGTTTATGAAACTTACTCACATTCTCCTCTCTTGAGCAAAGATTTGCATTCCTGTACAATGGAAGTCTCCAAAATTGCCTATAAGACTAGGCCACCGACTCCTGAAGTTGGAGTATAAATGAAAAATGTACAAAACAGAAAGGTAGAGAACATTAGCAGTTGGAAAACATGGGGAGAAGTGTTAATTTTCATTTAAATTGCAAAAATGAACCATGGATATTCACATTGCAGATGCAAATAGCTGGGGATATCTGTGGATTTGCAGAGTTCCAAAGACAAAGCCCCTAATATCGTGATTGTCCCAATGATTAGGATGGTTTTATATTGGGGCACCTGCCTACCTTACTCTGTCCTGTTCCCTTCCTAACCCACAACCAAGACTCCTGCCACATTTTTCTACCCCTCTCTCCTCTCCAATCTCTCCTCCCAGATGCTGCCCCCATCCTCTTTTATTCTTCCCCTCACTGGCTTTTGTGAACCATTACTGTTTCAGATTCCCTTCTGGCAATGTTCCCCTGCTCCCTCACTTCCTCCCCCTTTTGGCTCCTACAGCTGTCCCCACCCCCCATTTTTCACCTCCTGCATTCTAAGTTAGCTGTTTCTTCCTGCCTGGGCCCAGCAGGAGGGAGCATTGAAAGCACAGGAGAGTCTCCTGCTCTCAGTTCCAGTACTTGGCAACCACAGCGATCTGCAGCCATCCCTAGGATGAAATGTGCTCAGTGGCTGTGCAAGGATGGCGTATGTGGAGCCTGATAAGCCCGAGGAGCTGAGAGAGGCCTGTGTATGCTCCCAGAAGAGGGAATCTTTGCCCGGTGAAGACAAAATGTAGCCACTGAGCTCTTATATCTCTTCTTAACATGTGCAACCACGTGTTTCTTCCCAACCTCATTCTCATACATGGCTGAACCATTTTAACAGAAGCTTAAAGTAAATAACTAAATCAACCTTCAGCAGACACTTGACATGAAAACTTAAGTCTTAAGGGTTAAATTTTTGGCAAAGTTACAAGCAACTGACAACAGGGTCTAATCACATGATGTGTTGGGCAACTTGAACTGCAAGTAGTGCTGCTTGCACTGGCTGCACTGTTGTCATGGGATGGATTTTTAAGAGACAAGGAAGCATGAGAGAGGCATGTTTCTAATCGAAAGTATCATGGGGGACCGTGATGGTTTCTCAGTGATGGCTACTCAGTTTTGCTCAGTTTGCAGTTAACAAGTTGTGTCTTTCTGTCTTCCTGTAAGTGCTTCTCCAGTGGAGTTAGCACAGATCAAAGCTGAGTACTGAGCTAGAGGCCTGAGTTGAAAACACATCTCAAAATAGTGTACTGTTTCATGTGTGCGCGTGTTTTTACTTTCTCTTTTAAAGTGGGTGGTAGCTGGCTGCATTATGTTTCTGTTTCAGATCACCTTGGGTTCATTATTGTTCAGTTAAACAAAGCTGTGGTTGCCTTTCCTTTTGGGGCTATTTAAAGACACCATGTGCCAAATCTGCTCTCAGTCACAGCAGTGTGAAGCGGGAGTAAATCCACTGACCTCAGTGGAGTATCTCTAGACTCACACCAGCATGAATGAGATCAGGATTTGGTCTTGCCCCTACAGGAGTTTCCTGTAGTCTGTTGTCTAGTTAAGAGTGCTTTTAGTAACTTGCGGTAGAATGATGCCCAATTATGTAAGGTGCGGTGAGTTCTCATTTCCCATTGAAGTGAAAGAGTAGTGAAGGGGATACAACACCTTGACTGAGGTGCTCAGCCTTACATGATTAGCCTCCTAGGGTGTGTCTAGACTACAGGGTTGTTGTTGTGTGCAGCTTTTTTTTTTTTTTTTTCTTTAAACTTCCACTGCATCTAAACTGCTGCCGCCTTCTTTTGACAGTAAATCGAAAGAATGTGGCATTTTTTTTGACTGCAGAAAACCTTGTTTTACAAGGAATAACGCCTTTTTTCAAAAGTACCCCCTAAAGTGCTCTTTTGAAAAAGGCATTCTTGAATGCAAACAGTGCTTTTTGAAAGAGAGCATCCAGACTGCCTGAGTACTCTTTCGAAATAGTGGCTCGCTTTTTTGAAAGAAGTGGTTGCAGTCTAGATGCTCTCTTTTGAAAGAGGCTTATAGTCTAGACCATGGGTTTCCAAACTGGGGGGCATGCTGCTATGGGGAAGGGGGGCGTGAGGGTTTCTCAAAAATCAAAAAAAGGGCGTGATGCTGAAAAGTTTGGGAACCACTGGTCTAGACATACCCCTAGTGGTTATGAATGGTGGTGGATTGCCAGCCCAAAAGTCCTCTGTTTGTCCACAGACTAGGTACAGTGTGAGCAGTATAAGGGCAAGATTGCTTAAACTGCAACCTCAGCTACATGTTCAATTAGTTAGTGTGTTTGTCTCCATTGGGAAATACTTTTAGCCTTCAATACACACAGTATGAAATATATGCAATAGATTGTCATTAAAAACACAGAATAAACCAGGCACATCTGAAGAGAACAAAGCCCTTCACATGTATCATAGAAGCATAGAAATGTAGGGCCAGAAGGGGTCTCAGTCATCAAGGCCAAGACCAGCCCACTTCACAGAATCAGGACCAAATAAACCCAGATCATCTCTGAAAGGTGTTCGTCCAAACTGTTGTTAAAATTCTCCAGTGATGGGGATTCCACAACTTCCCTTGGAGGCCAGTTTCAGGGCTTAACTACCCTTAGAGTTATAAAAATTTTCCTAATAGCTGACTTAAATCTCCCTTGCTTCTTGTCCTACCTTGGGTGGACACGGAGAACAGTCAAACCTCGTATAATAGCCCTTAATCTCAGTCTTTGTGTGTCAAGACTAAAATGCCCATTTTTTTTTAAAACTATGAGGAAAGGGTTTCTAAACCTTGTCATTTTTGTTGCTCCCATCTGTACTCTCTCCAGTTTATTCACATATTTTAAGTGTGGTGCCCCAAATTGGACAAAGTTCTCCAGCTGAGGTCTCCCCAATGCCAAGTAGAACAGGAATGTTATCTCTTGCATTTTGCTATGAAACTCCTGTTGATGCAGCCCACAATATATTCGCCTTTTTTTGCAACTTCATCAAGTTGTCAATTTCTGTTCAATTTGTGATCTTCTATAACCTCCAGACCTTTTTCAGCAGTACTATCACCGAGTCAGGTTCTATCCATTTTGTATGTGTGCATTTGATTTTTTTTCCTTGTGTAATATTTTGTGTATTTATTGCGTTTCATCTTGCTGGTTTCAGACCAGTTTTCTAATAGTAATGATGGTTTTGAATCCTAATTCTGTGCTCCAAAGTACTTGCATGTGTAGATACTTAAATTGACTTTTCTCTTGGTTTGTATCTCCTTCACCCAAGAGACATTTAAAATAGGTGCAACATTTATGAGTAAACCAAAACTGCTTGTCTTACTTTGTCCACGCCTCTTTTGATATTCTTAGTTTTTCATTTCTTTCTCTTTGTTCTTTCCTTCAGAGTGCTCTCTTCCTTCCTTTAGAATCCCTTCTGTTTATCCTGATTCTCTTTTCTTGTCCAGCACTGACCCCTTTCCTTTTGCTCTCCATCTTTCTCTCCCTTCATCATTCTCCTTTTCACTCCTCTCATTTCCACTTTCTCTCAATCTCCCTACTGCTTCCTGCATCACCCTCCTCAGTTCTTCCTTCCTTCATTCCCATCATTTTTCCACAATAGTCTCACTGTCTCACATGGGCTGCAGGTTAGTATAATTTTTGGTGGTGCCCCATTAGCCCCCAACACCCCCTCCCCCCCCCTCCCTTCATCATTCTCCTTTTCACTCCTCTCATTTCCACTTTCTCTCAATCTCCCTACTGCTTCCTGCATCACCCTCCTCAGTTCTTCCTTCCTTCATTCCCATCATTTTTCCACAATAGTCTCACTGTCTCACATGGGCTGCAGGTTAGTATAATTTTTGGTGGTGCCCCATTAGCCCCCAACACCCCCTCCCCCCCC